CAGAATTGAGCCAGTTTCTGACCGACTTTTTTCTCCGTGGACAGATTTGGCTCAAATGTTGTCTCCTGGGGTATTTTGACCTCCTGAATACGAATATGACATTCGCTCAGCCCAAAACTGCTGGCGCTCGCGCACAGGCACCGGTGCGTGGTATTTGTCGGCTCCAGCAGCTGTAGCGCGGGACCGCGCAGGAGGTTCAGGCCGGAGCGCATGTGTATTCGTGCTTTAGAAGCACACTACCCGCTGAAACATGTTTCGAATTTTTGCCGTGACTTTTGGGGTGTTTATGGCGCTTTCGCCTGTGCTGCGGGCTTCAGGTAGGTTCGTGCCAGCGGATGTGATATTCGTGTTCAGAAGGTCAAACTACGGGGAGCAAATTTTCAGCCAATTCTGCCAAGGCGGAAAAAAGTCGGTCAAAAACTGGCCTGTCTTCGGAGATTTGGGGCATGTTGAAAAGTACATGTTGCCTCAAAAATGTACCGCTCGGTGTTTCCTTTCCACCTACCATCACCCGAAATTCCCTCGAAATTTCTAAATTTCCACCACTTTTCCGGAGGTTTCTCTCAGAAAGTCCGAATTTCGCTTCTTTCTATAAAAAACCGCCATCGAGCGTGGGCAAATATGACTCCCCTCGCTGGGGATCCTCAGCTTACGAGGTGCCAAGAGGGCTATACCCTGCACACTAAGCCTCCCAACAGGGTCGTTCATTTATTGGACGACCACGCTTATGGTTTGGCGACAAAAAAAACCGTTTTTATACTGATGCAGCGTGCAGGAGTGGGATGGGCGCAATAGGGGTATAAGTACTACCATCTTCCCTTCATTCCTCTTTCAGCAAGACCTCCCTCTCACAACCTACCTACTACTTTACCAAATCCTTCCCACTTTTCCATAAGTTGGGACAATTTTTTCCCAAAAAAACTGGCGTACATATACTCGAAATCCCTGAGATCGGGTAGGCGTGGCTGCGTACTTGATTTTAGAATGGCGCGGCCCAGGTTTTAGAACGGCCCAGGTTTTCGTGAGATGCCGTCATTTTGGAGCAGTCGTAATCATGTCTACATCTGACACAGAACAAGATAGCAGTTGTTCAAATTGAAGTATCCCACGAGAAACCCGTCCTATGCCATGCTCAAAAGCCACGCCTACTCCGTCTCAGAAATAAGGAGTGTAGAGTTTTTGAAATGGGAAAAATTTGCAATCAGAAATTGTTGGCTGGGAAATTCTCTCTCGAGGCTAAATACGGTATTATTCTTTCGCGATACAGCCTCTCCTGACGAGATTAATTTTTATCAACGAGTTTCTCATCGATGATCTCTTACTTCGCTATGGCACAAAAGCAATGAAGCTGAGAGGGTAAGAGCTTGCGGTGGCGTAACTCATAGTGTCCTCACCCGTTTGCTGGAGGCGCGGTCCCGTAGGTGCGATTACTTATGAGTCGGCATTCTTGTGATAGCTTCTCATCAGTGCAATCAAATATTGAATTTTGAACACGGGCTTTTTCTTTACCCTGTTCAAAATACAAAGAAGCATCGTTTCGATAGATTTATATGGCTTTTTTCTTGTCACCAGGTTTTCAAAATACGTTTTCAGATAGGCATTCGTGTTACTGTGATATTGCCAATATTTTTTAATAATCATTGAGAGAAATTGCAAACATATGGGGACACCCGCAATGCAGTGAGCCATGATGGGGTGGGGTGTAGTTCAGGAAGGCGTAACGCGCGCGATATCACGCCCAAACAACCTGGCATACTTTTGACTCTATAAGGACCTTGGGGTTAAATCAAATATTTTATGACAGTCTACGTCCCTTACCGTTTATTTGACAGCCTTATCTGAATGTAAGCACCCATCGTACATTTAATTTGACGCCGATGTGCTAGCGAGGAAAGCTAAATTGGAGCGCGATACCTCGCCTCTGGTCCAAGCTACACTCCTAAGCCAGTAATCACAATCTACAGTATTAGGATCGTGGCACAGGAAATAGAAAACTTCACGAACCTCGCGCTAACCTGAAAAAAAAAACATCTACTCCACCTGCTGAAAGGAACCGTAAAAGATTCAGAACGTAGTTAAGGAGGATCATAGGGTGCCTGAATATTCCGGTTCTTTTTTTCCAAATATATTCGGTTGAAGTGATGAGTGATACTGACGAGGGGAGGAGATGGTGGGTGCAGGGTCACGGCAGTTTGATCGGTTGAAACCCGACAACTAAGGAATTTGCCCACGCTGTTCAAGCTGACTAGTATAGCAGCGCCTGTTCTCCAAACAGAGTTCAATTATGTGGACCTTTTTGACAACACCCTCTGCTACAGGGCGTACCAAGCGACGAAGAAAACTGGGTCGGTCAGCATGAGCCCTCCTTTGAGCATCATTGCCTCTGAGACGGTCCCCTCAACCCTGTCAGTCTAGAAGTCCGACTACACGTGCATTACTGCTTGGTCACCAAGAAGAGCGCTCATCGAGGAACTGGGAAAGAACGGAAATTGCTGCTTCTCAGCTCATCCACACGCTTTGGGATCAATGGAGGCCCATTTAAACACGCTCGCCGGAGGGAACCTTCACAGTGAAGTCTAATGGTAGAACCAGTTATGAGTAGAGCCTATTTGCAAATCGTTGCAGGGCACTTGTGGAAGTTCCCTGACGGAAAATGATCAGCACGTTGAAATCTATGTGGAAAGGGCGCTGAACCGACGGCCTGGTAAACCACAATTTTTCGTTGAAACTCGTTTGGCTTATTACATGAGGTCTCAAAACCAGATGCTGAAGGCTATTCACACGGCAATTCGATCTGCTGTTGTCTTGGAACTTGAATCCGCACTGCGTGTGCCGGAGAATCCTCTACGTAGGGGCGGGGTCCCATTTAATTCAGTGTGGAGAAGCCACGTTTCAAATCTGAGGCTAATAGCTTTTTGCTTTCTTCCAAGTACTTGCTATGTACACTAACCCTCTTCACTTAATGTCTCCAGTTTTCAAGTTTTTTTTCCTCACGTTCAGTCTTTTGTGGAATAATTTCAGAACTTCTTGAAGGCACGCGATAGCTACCGTGTGGATAAGGGGTTCAGGTTGGAAATTGAAAGTCATGACTACAACCTACTACAGTCTGCCAGCTATCTAATCATGAACACTGCCTGTTTTCCCTTGAATAAGGGCCTTTATTTCTGCTAGCCAATTTGATCGCAATCACGACGGCAAGCTCTCCCCTGTTGTTTTTTTCGATCAAAACTTGAGCCTAGATGGTCTGTTTCTACCTTTTAAGGCTATATGAATTTCGATTTGAGAAACGCAGAGAGTGGAATAGTTCTCCTTAGTCGTCGCACTGGAATACGCCGCGCATTTGACTTTGCCTAGAAATCGTATTTTCTCGAAGAACACGGCTTGGCTTGTTCAGTCGCTTTTTTGCAGTCTTATGATATCGTACAATTATCTAAAGGGCGGAACAACCTTCCCTTCAGGGCTGGGAGGGTGTGCCACTGCAATTGGCGCGGAGTCTTTTGGCCATATTCGACCATTAGCGCTCTCGCTTTGCAGCTACGAGTTCCGGAAACAGAACAGACTATAGCTGAGATAAGACAGAGAAGGTTCTCCCAATTGACCTTCTAAAAAATGGCCTCAGGCAATTTCAAAAAGATGGCATAGAAAAGCAAGTAAATGAAGTACAGTGTACGATGGGTGACGTACGTCCAGATAGGTGTGACGCGCGAAAACTCGCGGCAAAATCTCTGCTCTAGTTAGCTTTGGTATGTTGCCTGTGCTTCCAAGTGCATTCAGTTGGGTCCTGGTGCAAATGCGGCGCCTCAGCGGGGTCCCGATTTCCAAAGCTTTTTCGCCACCATCCTCGCGGTGCGAATTCAGGCGCGCTGCAACGCTCGTACGCTTTCCCACCATATGATGGACTATTATCTCTGAGATTCTTTTTTGAATTGATTGTTTACTTCCAATTCATACTTAATCGGCACTATTGAACTATTGACTGCCTTTTATTTCCGCTGAAAATTTGTCTATAGTAGTAATTCGGTGCGCGGAACACAGATATGACACTCAGCGCGGGTGCTGGTGCCATTGACCGCCAATAGACGCCAACTTGGTGCCACCTTCTTCCCCAACAAGAACGTTGAAAAAATATACACGGGGTTAAATCACATCGTGATTGGGAAAGTTAATGTTAGGCGCTACCACCTTTTTCACAAAAACCGATGAAAACTTGTGAAGCAGGGCTGATGATGACCTGACCACGAACATGACATTTTTCAAAACTAAGGGCCAGTTAGTGCTCTGTAAAGGCTGAGCCTGGGAGGAGGGAATCCTTCCCTGCCAGGCTCATCCTTAGTAGAGCACAGACGTTCAGACTGCCCGGTATTAGCGCCGGCGTCAAGAATGAATGTCAGATTGTGTGCAATATGCACTTTTATACCAGTTTTGGGCGCAGTTCGGCAACGGGGCGAGGGGTTGCACTTTCGTTGCTTCACTAGTTCCGCTTTACAAGTCTCACTCTGGTGAAAACTGTGAACTCCTGTGAAGTTGGAACGTCAAGCCATCGTGGTACGAGAAGAGGCTTTCTAGATAGGTCGATATCGATGGGAAGTAGCAAAAGAGCAAAATGCGCCCCCCCCCCGTCGCCGAACTGCCCCCAATTTCGTATGGGAAGGACTGTGGCGTCAACCTGGCACGTAGCTGGCGCCAAACGGTTTCGAAGCGCGTGTCATATTATTAGTCAAGATGTCAGATAACCCCACAATTTTTCATCGATTCAGTGAGAAGAGTGAGGTGCTTATTGGCGCAGCGCCACTTGAGGTGATACTTATGATCAAGGTACCGAATTACCCTCAGGCGAGATTTCATTTTGAGATTTCGGAGTAGTAATGGTTGAGTAGTGCCAAATCTGATCTTCCAAATCGAGTATTCGTTCTCATTCCGAGGTTCGACGTCAATTTTCGCGCTTGTCGGTCGTTTTCCACAGCGCTCGATCCCTAAAGCCTTTCACGGTTTATTACAGGATGCAGTACGTGCTAGGCCTTTTGGCCTTACTGCTCGTCGCCGTCAATGCAGACGTGTTCACCTCAATTGCCGACATGCAGGCTCTGCTCCAGTCTGAAAAATCTATTCCAGATATGCTCAGAAAATACGTCGAAAGCGAGCATCAACGTCTCGAACACCTCAAGGAGTACGTTCCTTTCATTGTTTACAATCTCAGAAAATTGTCATATTTGCATTGTTTTCAGTTTAATAGAGGACTATGAAGTACAAAATGAGGAAGCTCTAAAGACAGATATCAAAGATCTCATAAATCCTATCAACGCTTTCTTGTTCATCAAAAAGAAGGTGAACCTCAGCAGCTGCCCCTGCTTATCCGTGCAGAGATAAGTGACACTCCCCAAATCTGTACTGTTGTAGATATTCGACTGG